TTTTTCTTAATTATCTTGGGTATCACTGAATTTTGTCTTCTAACTGCCATGTCCTATGGTCACTATGTAGCTATCTGCAAACCCCTGCATTACACAACCATCACGAACAACAGAGTCTGTGGATTGCTTGTGTTTTGTGCTTGGCTGGCAGGGTTCTTAAACATCTTCCTACCTGTTATTCTTTTTCTCCAGTTAGATTACTGTGGTTCTAACATCATTGATCACTTTGCTTGTGACTATTTCCCCCTCTTGCAACTATCCTGCTTAGACACATGGCTCCTTGAAGTGATTGGTTTTTACTCTGCAATAGTGATCCTGCTTTTTACTTTGGCATTAGTAATTCTATCCTACATGTTCATCATCAAGACAATTCTGAGACTGCCTTCTGCCAGTCAGAGAAAAAAGGCATTTTCTACATGCTCCTCTCATATGATTGCCATTTCCATCTCTACGGAAGCTGTATATTCATGTATGCCAACCCTTCATCAAAAGAAAAGGCATCCTTGATGAAAGGAGTAGCAATTCTGAATACTTCTGTTGTTCCTATGATGAATCAGTTTATATATACACTGAGGAGCCAGCAAGTGAAGCAAGCCTTTAAGGATACCAGCCAAAAGGTTATCTTTTTCTCTAGTAAATGCAAGTATCTGTAGCATTAAAATAGTTCTGGTCAATGATTTCTTTATTCATATTCTCTCAAAACTCTTTCACTACCATTTTATGATTACTTTTTATTCATTCCTATTCTAAACTCCCCCACACGTTGAACCAAATAAATTGGATAAAGCTGAATATTGCTTCAGAATTTTCTGTAAATTGTTTTTTATTCATATGTATTTGATGAAGTATAAAATGTTACAACATAAGCCATTTTGTTTGAGAAAAAGAATCTCAGGAATAATGTGGATTTCTGAGATTTTCACTCTTACAAGATAACAAAAATGAATATTATTAGAAAATTTTGATTCTATTTGGCATTTTCATGAAATCAAATAACCACATACACTAGCAGGTTGGAAATAAAATATAAATATTTACTTAAATATTTTTGAAAGATTATAAACGTATACATATTCAAATTCTTTATACTACTAATACTTTTGATAATAATGAAGAGAAGGACAAGAAAGAAGTGGGTAGAAATAATTTTGTTTAGCAATTACTATATTCCAGACTTATTCTAGAGAATGATTTTCTAGAAGAAAGCATTTCTTCCTATTGGCTCACTGAACCCTGCCAAAACATTCTGAGGTACCTGTAATTGTTATTCTCTTGCAAAAATATTACCTTATCTTTTCCTCTGGAAATATCTTATAAGATTATTATCATTCATATGCATGTAAAAAATGTTGGAATTAAATTTTAAAATCTTACCTCTGTCAAGAATTTTCACATTTTAGTCATAAACAGTTCAGTCACTCAGTCGTGTCCGACTCTTTGCAACACCATGGACTGCAGCACACCAGGCCTCCCTATCCATCACCAACTCCCGGAGTTTACTCAAACTCATGTCCTATGAGGTGGTGATGCCATCCAACCATCTCATCCTCTGTTGTCCCCTTCTCCTCCCACCTTCAATCTTTCCCAGCATCAGGGTTTCTTCAAATGAGTCAGTTCTTCACATCAGGTGGCCAAAGTGTTGGAGTTTCAGCTTCAACATCAGTCCTTCCAATGAAGATTCAGGAATGTTTTCCTTTTGGATGGACTGGTTGGATCTCTTTGCTATACAAGGAACTCTCAAGAGTCTTCTCCAACATCACAGTTTAAAAGCATAATTCTTCAGCACTCAGCTTTCTTTATAGTTCAACTCTCACATCCATACATGACTACTGGAAAATCCATAGCTTTGACTAGATGGACCTATTAGACATACTACCTTATTTTAAATAAGAAATACTATATGGGTCAATGTTTACAAAAATTTTAAGATAGGAGGTCGGTGGACTATCCATAGCCCACTGGGAAAACTTGGCCCACCACCTATTTTTGTTAAAAGTTTTATTGAACACACCTGAGCCCTTTCATTTACATGTTGTTCAGAGCTGCATCCAAAATAGAGACAGGAAGAACTGAGTAATTGCATCAGGGACACTATGCCTGCAAATTCTAAATTATTAATATATCACCCTTTTACAGAAAAAGTGTGTGTTGACCACTGCTATTGATAATCAAAATGATTATACTGATAGCAAACATTTAAACTAACCACTAAAGAGTTTGTATAGAATTTTGTAGAGAGCTGCATTATCTGATAATATCAGCGTAGACTTCTTCATATCTTTTGTAAAAATTTTACAGTTCCTTTAATTCCCAGAACTAACCTATCTACTCTTTATGGTATATTTTTATTGAGTGAATAAGAACTCACAATCCTCAATCAAGTCTAAACTTCAGTATTTTCTCATGCTTCCAATCAAGCTTAGAAATTATAAATGTTTCAGCATGAGGGAAGGAGAAAGTAATGGCATGACTTTCCTACAAAGTGGAAATATCACTATTTTTTTATAAGTTGTTTTTATTGTGTTTCATCAAATGATGGATCTAAGACTCTCAATTGAGTATCGTATGTGAATATCAGGAAAAACTTGCCTCTGAGTTATGGTTACAGACTTTCTATAATAATGGTTTAAAAATGTAGGATGAGTTTGAGTAACTTTCATCATTATATAAAATTTTGACTTCATGGAAAAAAGAAAAGAAAAAAGTATTCAGGGCCAGAATTGCATGATCTTGCATGATTATTCACATAAATTCTAATCAGTACATTTCCCAATATGATAGTGCTTAAAATAAGCATTTTTAACAAAGAAACCTCATTTATATATGGTGAAACTTTGCTCTTGTTACTTTCTTTACTCCTATTGATTAGGCATATCACTTAAAGAGGCAATTAAATGAATTGTATGTACAAGCTATTATCTCAGAATAGTCACAAATATGAGAAAGTTTAACACCCCTTAGCTACTGATTATCAAAAAATCAGCTTAACATCAAGCTTTTATTTCAATATACAACTGACCACAGTAAATGCAGTCATATTTGGTATCCAGTAATATTTATTTTATCAGCTGCAAATTGGCACTTGCCATGAGTGCTTGCCATCTCCCTCTACAAGGATTAAATCATGTGCTGTGCAGCTGCTGATGTTCAACACACCTGAAGGAGTTCAGTGCGGAGAGCAGGAGTGAGGCACTTTGTGCTCTGGGAAAACTGGCAGGACAGGTCTTTAGATAGTTAAATAGTCTCAGGAGCTGATTTTATGAGCCCAATTCTTGTATCTCCTCATATCAAGAAAAACACTAAAGTTCTTCATGGTGACGATTGTTTCTCATAACTAGCAGAAGTTTCATGAGATGAACAGAAACTTTCTTAAAAAAAAAAGTGCTTGAATACATGTACTCCCCTTTTACTAAATCACATATATACTGTCCTCCCCCTATACCTCTTTAGATTTGTTTCTCACAGATAACTGAGGTCTGTCTCCAGGTTGAAATCCTCATATTGCCCCAACTAAAATTTAACTGGCAACTCTCACGTTGTGTATTTTTTTTAATTGATAATTTCTTCAGGCATTTTAAAAGAATTGTTATGATACATATGTTAGTTTTTTACTTTCCCAAGAAGTGGAGGCTATTTCATAGTTTTCCCTAATAGCTTTCATAGTTTTCTTCACTATAATAGTCTTTGAGTTGATAGATTATACAGCACAGAAAATGTTAAACTCAGTAATGAGAAAAGTTGTTTGACTTCTCAAGAAAATGTAATTACATTATTCTTTTAAGTTGTATTATTTTTCACATAGTTACTAAACTGGCCACAATATGAAAAGGAGAGCATATGCAATATTCTAATGAGACTGTCAGATAAAGTTTATTGTCCTTGTGTGGTAATAAAAAATAAGGTTAAACATGATACAATATTTACTCAATTACTGAAAAGAGTAATTCTGGTGAAATCACAAAATGTTACTCTCTCTTGCATTTTGAAATTTCACCAGAAGAAAAGTGCATGAGAGAAGGTTTGCAATCTGAATGGAAAAAAAGTATATGTATATGTATGTGTGTGTGTGTGTGTGTGTGTGTACATATATATATATATATGAAGAGTTTGAATTTAAGTGGAAAGAATAAAATACACATGCAAATATCCTTGGTAAGCTGCTGACAATAAAAATACAAATGATGAAAATGAATCTAGGGAGACTGTGTGGATATTAATAAATTTTGAAAAATCTGGATTTTAATTTAATTGCTCTTCACTCATATGCCTCTAATTCATGAAACAGGACTTTTATATTTTCATTTCCTTGAGAAAAACATATTCTTCCTTGCCATGTCCATGAAGGCTCTCTTGACTTGCTGATTCCCAAGAGTGTAAAGGGGTTCAGCATGGGTGCTACTGAGGTGTTTAGCACAGCTACCCCCTTGCTCAAAGAGGCCCTGTCTTTTGTAGTTGGATTCACGTACATGTAAATGCAGCTGCCATAAGAGATAGAGATGACAATCATGTGGGGAAAACACGTGGAAAAGGCCTTTGTCCTCTGAGTGGAAGAAGGGATCCTCAAAATTGTTCTGATGACATATGTGTAGGACAGAATTATTAATGCTAAAGTGAACAGTAGAATAAACACAGCACAAGAAAACCCCAGTATCTCTAGGAATTTGGTGTCTGAACAAGAAAGGTATAATAAAGGGAAATAATCACAAGTAAAATGGTTGGTAACATTGGACTTACTGTGATCAAATTGTATGAAGAACATGAGTAATGGAAATATGATTAAGAATCAAGTCAGCCAAGAGGCCAAGACAAGCAGTGTGCAGACTCTATGATTCATGATGGTCATGTAATGCAGCGGTGTGCAAATGGCAATGTAGCGGTCATAGGACATGGCAACCAGAAGGTAAAACTCAGTGACTCCCAAGAAAGTGAAAGAAAATAACTGAGCCATACAATCATTAAAAGAGATGGTTTTATCTCCCATAGTAATGGTGGCCAAGAACTTGGGAATAGTGACAGTTGTGAATGAAACTTCCATTATGGAGAAACTCTTGAGGTAGAAATACATGGGGGTCTTGAGGTGGATATCCAGCAGGGTCAGGGTGATAATGGTCAAGTTCCCAGTGATGCTGAGCATGTAGGTGATGAGCAGAAAGACAAAGATCACGACCTGGAGTTGTGGGTCGTCTGACAGACCCAGGAGGATAAATTCTGTTATTTCTGTGTAGTTTCTCATTTTTCTTCTTCTTTTAAGTAACCTTCAGGAGAACACACAAAGGGAAGACACAGAAAAGGGGATTATCAATGTATAACACTGGGATTTGTCTCTGAAAATAAATTTACTATGCCATGCTAACATAATTCCGGAGACTTTTTAAAAACAAGTTAATAGGGGAGGGAACTAAGATGGTGGACGAATAGGACGGGGAGACCACTTTCTCCCCTACAAATTCATTGAAAGAACATTTGAACGCTGAGCAAACTCCACAAAACAACTTCTGATTGCTAGCAGAGGACATCAGACACCCAGAAAAGCAGCCCATTGTCTTCGAAAGGAGGTAGGACAAAATATAAAAGATAAAAAGAGAGACAATAGAGTTAGGGATGGAGATCCGTCCCAGGAAGGGAGCTGTAGTAGAGGAAGTTTCCAAACACCAGGAAACCCTCTCACTGGCGGGTCTGGGGGAAGTTTTCGAATCTCAGAGGGCAACCTAACTGGGAGGAAAAATAAACAAAACTCACAGATTACATGCCTAAAAGCAACTCCTAGCAGAAAAGTACCCCAGATGCTCGCATCCGCCACCAGCAAGTGGGGGCAGAACGGAGAGGAGCGGGCGGCAGTGCTCAGGGTAAGGACCGGGCCTGAGTGCCCTGAGGGCAATCGGAGGGAGCTAACGTGAGACAGCAACTTACACTGTGGGATAGCAAGAGAGAAAGAATTAAGTTAGGTAAAGCCCTAAACTTAGGTACTACCGGCCGGTTCCCAGAACGAAGGACTGAGCAAATACCAGCGAAGAGCGAGCCGGCTGCGGACCGGCCCATCCCCCGCCGGAGGCAGGAGGCAGGGGGGAGGGGAAAGGGGCAAACTCGGCCCCAGAGACGGCACCCCTACCAAACTGCAAACAGGCTTCCAGCTTCTAACCAGAGACTTCCTGAGATTCTGGATGGTCAACATCTGCCGGGAGGGTTGCAGCTAGAGTCCAGCTCCCCAGAACTGACACAAGGCGCACTCGACCGGCACACACAGAAACTGAGGCTGGGCCTGCGGAGGGGACAAGGCGCCCTGCACCTGGGGAGAGTGTGCTCGTCAAGCTCCTGGCTGCCTGAGCTGCCTTGACCGGGAAGGCACAAAACGCAGGCCCAACCGAGTCTGTGCTTTTGTGGAATACCCCAAAACCTGAATCTGAGCGGCTTAGGCCTGGGAAGTCCACGCAACGCAGGGCCCGCTCCCTGGAGAGCAGCCTGGAGCCTGAGCAGTGTAGACGGGGAGAGCACACACACCCGCCCCGAGCGGGGGCAAACCCAGTGTGGCCAGAAAACCGCGAGTGCTCCCCACACAGGCCAGTGACATTTGTCTGCAGCGCCCCCCCTCCCCACAGCATGACTGAACAAGCGAACCTCAACAAGAGACCACCTCCGCCCGCGTCTGTCAGGGCGGAAATTAGACACTGAAGAGACCTGCAAACAGAAGCCAAAGAAACAAAGGAAACCGCTTCAGAAGCCACAGGTGCAACAGATTAAAATCCCAGTAGTTAACACCGACTGCACTGGAAGGGGCCTATAGATAGCGAGAAGTGTAAGCTCGAACAAGGAGCTATCTGAAACTGACCCGAACCCACACTGCCCGCAACAGCTCCAGAGAAATTCCTAGATATATTTTTACTACTATTTTTTTTATTTTTAATTAAAAAATTTTTTTTCTCTTTCTTTTTTTACTTTTTCTTTTTTTTAAAGTCCTCTATTACTCCTTAATTTTCATTTTTATAACCCACTATAACCTGGCAAAAAAATTAAAAAGGACTCTATTTTTAAAGCAAACTCCATATATATTTCTTAATTTTTTGTGTGTTTTTGTGGTTTTTTACTATTGTATTTTTAAGAGTTTAACCTCTACTCTAGATTTTTAATCTTTGTTTTTCAGTATTGGATATCAATTTTGGACATTTAAGAATCCAACCTTCAGTACCCATTTTTACTCAGGATTGTGATTACTGTGGTTTGATCACTCTCTCCTCCTTTTGATTCTCCTTTTTCTCCCCCAGATCATCTCTATTTCCTCCCTCCCCGTTCTTTTCTCAATCCAATTCTGTGAATCTCTGTGGGTGTTCTGGGCTGCGGAGAACACTTAGGGAACAGAGTACTGCGTAGATCTGTCTCTCTCCTCTTGAGCCCCCCCATTTTCTCCTCCTGCTCACCTCTATCTCCTTCCTCCCTCTCCTCTTCTTCATGTAACTCTGTGAACCTCTCTGGGTTTCCCTCACTGTGGAGAATCTTTTCACCATTAACCTAGAAGTTTTATTATCAGTGCTGTATGGAAGGAGAAGTCTTGAGGCTACTGAAAGAATAAGACTGAAACCCAGAGGCAAGAGGCTTAAGCCCAAAACCTGAGAACACCAGAGAACTCCTGACTACAGGGAACATTAATTAATAAGAGATCATCCAAAAGCCTCCATACCTACACTGAAACCAACCACCACCCAAGAGCCAATAAGTTCCAGAGCAAGACATACCACACAAATTCTCCAGCAACGCAGGAACATAGCCCTGAGCGTCAATATACAGGCTGCCCAAAGTCACAGCAAACCCATAGATCCATCTCAGAACTCACTACTGGACACTCCATTGCACTCCACCCACCAGAAGAAATACAGCTCCACCCACCAGAACACCGACACAAGCCTCTCTAACCAGCAAACCTCGACAAGCCAAACACCCAGCCCCACCCACTGGGAGAAACCTCCACAATATAAAGGAACCACAGACTAGCAGAATATGAAAAGGCCACCCCAAACCCAGCAATCTAAATGAGATGAAAAGGCAGAGAAATACCCAGCAGGTAAAGGAACATGAAAAATGCCCACTAAGCCAAACAAAAGAGGAGGAGATAGGGAATCTACCTGAAAAAGAATTTAGAATAATAATAATAATGAAAATGATCCAAAATCTTGAAAACAAAATGGAGTTACAGATAAATAACCTGGAAAAAAGGATTGAGAAGATGCAAGAAATGTTTAGCAAGGACCTAGAAGAAATAAAAAGGAGTCAGTTAAAGATGAATAATGCAATGAATGAGATCAAAAACACTCTGGAGGGAACCAACAGTAGAATAACAGAGGCAGAAGATAGGATAAGTGAGGTAGAAGATAAAATGGTGGAAATAAATGAAGCAGAGAGGAAAAAAGAAAAAAGAATTAAAAGAAATGAGGACAACCTCAGGGACCTCTGGGACAATGTGAAACACCCCAACATTCGAATCATAGGAGTCCCAGAAGAAGAAGACAAAAAGAAAGGCCATGAGAAGATACTCGAGAAGATAATAGCTGAAAACTTCCCTAAAATGGGGAAGGAAATAGCCACCCAAGTCCAAGAAACCCAGAGAGTCCCAAACAGGATAAACCCAAGGCAAAACACCCCAAGACACATATTAATCAAATTAACAAAGATCAAACACAAAGAACAAATATTAAAAGCAGCAAGGGAGAAACAGCAAATAACACACAAGGGGATTCCCATAAGGTTAATAGCTGATCTATCAATAGAAACTCTTCAGGCCAGAAGGGAATGGCAGGACATACTTCAAGTAATGAAAGAGAATAAACTACAACCCAGATTACTGTATCCAGCAAGGATTTCATTCAAATATGAAGGAGAATTTAAAAGCGTTACAGACAAGCAAAAGCTGAGAGAATTCAGGACCACCAAACTGCTCTTCAACAAATGCTAAAGGATCTTCTCTAGACAGGAAACACAGAAATGTTGTATGAACGTGAACCCAAAACAACAAAGTAAATGGCAACGGGACCATACCTATCAATAATTATCTTAAATGTAAATGGGTTGAATGCCCCAACCAAAAGACAAAGACTGGCTGAATGGATACAAAAGCAAGGCCCCTATATATGCTGTCTACAAGAGACCCACCTCAAAACAAGGGACACATACAGACTGAAAGTTGAAGGGCTGAAAAAAAATATTCCACACAAATGGAGACCAAAAGAAAGCAGGAGTCGCAATACTTATATCAGATAAAATAGACTTTCAAATAAAGGCTGTGAAAAGAGACAAAGAAGGACACTACATAATAATCAAAGGATCAATCCAAGAAGAAGATATAACAATTATAAATATATATGCACCCAACATAGGAGCACTGCAATATGTAAGGCAAATGCTAACAAGAAAGAAGGGGGAAATTAACAATAACACAATAATAGTGGGAGACTTTATACCCCACTCACACCTATGGACAGATCAACTAAACAGAAAATTAACAAGGAAACACAAACTTTAAATGACACCATGGTCCAGCTAGACCTAATTGATATCTATAGGATATTTCACCCCAAAACAATCAATTTCACCTTTTTCTCAAGTGCACACGGAAACTTCTCCAGAAATAGATCACATCCTGGGCCATAAATCTAGTCTTGGTAAATTCAAAAAAACTGAAGTCATTCCAGTCATCTTTTCTGACCACAGTGCAGTAAGATTAGATCTCAATTACAGGAAAAAAACTATTAAAAATTCAAACATATGGAGGCTAAATAACACGCTTCTGAATATCCAACAAATCATAGAAGAAATCAAAAAAGAAATCAAACTATGCATAGAAATGAATGAATATGAAAACACAACAATCCAAAACCTACGGGACACTGTAAAAGCAATGGTAAGGGGAAGGTTCATAGCAATACAGGCTTACCTCAAGAAACAAGAAAAAAAGCCAAATAAATAACCTAATTCTACACCTAAAGAAATTAGAGAAGGAAGAAATGAAGAAGCCCAGGCTTAGCAGAAGGAAAGAAATCTTAAAAATTAGGGCAGAAATAAATGCAAAAGAAACAAAAGAGACCATAGCAAAAATCAGCAAAGCTAAAAGTTGGTTTTTTGAAAATGTAAATAAAATTGACAAGCTGTTAACCAGATTCATCAAGAAACAAAGGGAGAAGAACCAAATTAACAAAATTAGAAATGAAAATGGAGATCACAGCAGGCAACACTGAAATACAAGGGATC